GGTGATGCCATTTACCAAGACGACAATGCCCGTGTTCACATATCTCACATCGACCAGGACTGGTTTCCTGAGCACGAAGATAAAGTGTCACGTCTGCCATGGCCCCCACAATCGCCAGATATCAATATTATTGAGCCTTTGTGGTCTGTTTTGGAGAGCAATCTGCGTGCGCGCTATCCACCTCCATCATCGATAACAGAACTTACCATGTTTTTCAGGAAGAATTGTACAAGATTCCCTTGCAAATCATACAGGACCTCTATTTATCCATTCCAAGGAGACTGCAAGCAGTTCTGCAAGCCAGAGGTTGTCCTACACCATATTAGCCACAGTAATGTGTTTTTTGTTGGGTGTTTCCATATTTTTGTCCATCCCCTGTAACATGACGAGCCAATGCAGTAAACAGTAGAAGAAATCTGACGAAGCCTACGCGTGGTCTACTGTAGTAACAAACACAAAGCTACTCGCAGCTTATAACATTTTGAAAGATCATTTTTAAATAATTTTAAATATCGAATTGTGAATTTAAATTGAGTTTAACCTATTGTTATGTATACGACTGTATCACGTACCATTTTAAGGTTGACGTTTACTCTTGTTTCATTGTATTTTATTGTTAATTTTAATCTAAGTCTGGTGTAAGTTTTATCTAGACTCTGAGTTGAATAGAAACTAATTTGTACGAACTATTTATATAAAACTGGAATGTTAGCGTTTCAGTTCAGTAACAGCATGTGAGAACTTGCAGCACCTGAAAATGACCCATTGAGGTCGAAACATGTAGTGCGTGCTATGCAGATAAATAAATAAATATTAAAGTATTGTTGTTCTGACGTAAATATATATATGTATGTATACATGTATATATACATGTATATATGTAATACATATATGTATATGTTATCTGTGACTGGCCTCATTCTAAGCCAGATGAAACCAGTGCAGACCCTTCGGCCTCTCTGGCTGTAATATCGCTTCTTCTAAAACAGCTTTTCTTACCCTTCACATCCCCTCCTCTATATTCTCGCCAAACGTTCACTATTAACAAACTAACTCCACGGAGCTGTGTCCTCCTTGAGAAGCCGCCGGTCGCTCAGCTATTCAAGAAATTCATAACATCTTATAGAACCCGAAGGTGTACAAAAGAGCCTGCCACTCATCCCTGTCCTGGGCCAGATTAATTCTATATGAAGCTGACAGCAATGATGTCCCACGATAATTACTACATTCAGTTTTATCGCCCTTCTTGTGTGGTGGTGGTGCAATAATAGACTGCGTCCATTGATCGGGCAGTTTATGGATTTCAGAACGTAATGTTTTACCTCGCGCTTGCATTATTTCTCTCAGAATTTGAACACTACCTGGCTATTTATATCTTTTCTACTTCGCAATAGCAAGTTCAACCTCAAAAGGACTATGCTCAGGTACTGATTCGATAGCTGATGAATTGCTCAGTTGTTTTATTTTCATCTGTCTGACACCAGTAACTCTACGTACATTCAGTAACTGAAAGAAATAATTTTCGCCTTCTCAAAATGTTGTGGGAATCTGCACACAGGTCCCCGTTCTCATCCTTTACTTAGTTAGTTCTAGGTTCGTAATTCTCCTTAAAATTCCTCTGTTCTTCTCAGATGTTCGTGTTCTAACTATCTGTAGCTCCAGCCCTGAAACGTGATCTTTTGGCTGTAGAGAAGATAACTTGCAGCCTTCTGAAAACAATGTAAGATTTGAGGCTTTCACGGCGGTGACTATGAAGAAAGCAGTCTTCTGGGATTTGGCACCGTGTAAACGGTAAGTTTCTCACGGTGTTGTCGCTTGCAGATTTCTTATACTTTTTCTTCTACCCTGAAGATGGGGGCGATACGATCCTCCGAAACGTCGGTTAACACCACATATACACGGTGCCAAATCCCAGAAGACTGCTTTCTTCTGAAAACAAATTTAGGAAAATATTTGTGGAACCAGCTGAGATCAGCTGTGAGCTTTGAGACTGTCACAGCGGTGATTATGAATATATTATCTTCTGGAATCAACGCCGTGTATTCTGATAGATCATTTCCAGCCTTTTTTTTTATTCTGACAAACTACTGCCATGATATTTAGTCACACTTCTACCCTAAAGTTATGGAGAGCATGTTCCTCCGAAATGTTAATAACTATCTTATCAGGGTACCCGACATCATATTCCAAAAGACGGCAATCTTCCGATATTAAGTAAACGGAGAAAGAAAACCGATACATATCATAGATTTGTTGTTTAAAACGGCAATTTAATATTGCTATTCCTGTTAATATTTTTCTGTACCAGTGAATTTAGTACTGACGACTCTCAGTCCGCCGAAGCAGTCACACCTGTGTACTGGGTCCACTCTGCGCCTCACCACAGTAGTTCAGTTTAAGAAGGCGCATGTGGGCTGGACGAATAATTCAGATTCGCGTACGTCTTGAAGAGAGGCCCCTGGGAGAATCAAAGGGTGGATGGAAAGATAAGTTGAATGTGGTGAGCCTCCACATATTCTTGGCGGCAAGTTGTCATGGCGCCTAGAATTTTCTTCTTATTATGTTACTGGGCGAGTGCATGAGGCAACAAAGACTACTGGGAAATCATGCAAATTTTCCGTTCCTTTTTTTCCCCCTTTTGTTTATTTGTCTCTCTCCTTTCTCCTTAATTGGTTTCCCATAATTTTGATTGTGCTTTAGTGATTTATCTCCCCCTTCCTTCCTCACTCTCTTTCACTCAAAATATTTCACATACCTTCTGTTCCCCTGGCCATTCTGTGTCTGTGTCACCTATGCTCCCCCCAGATCCTCGTCATTCCTGTTCCTGTATCCTGGCAACGGCAGAAGATAATTAAATTTGTTTCCGTATGCTGGCAACGGCGCTTTGAATTTCTGCAGCGTGAAAGGAATTCGCTATTGGTTATATGCAGATGTTTCGGTTGTCCTTCTAGTAATAAAAATGAGCGCACTTCTTACCCAAGATCTGTTGTTATTTAGTCTGGCTCCGAGGTTTCTTTGGCGCTCCCCAGATTTATAGGAAATACGTGTATATGCAATTGCGGAATGTGGAGATGAGAACTGCATTCAGCGGTCCTGGTGTGATCAGATTTAGCATGAACAGTGTTAAAAGGTTCTCCTTTCAGACATTTTAATGGCTGGTTTGTAGATGAAGGCGGGAGATTCAGGGCTGCTCCCCTGTCGGAGGTCGAAGTTCGTGTGCTAAATCTATGCAGAGGTCAAAACAATGTGCAACAAGTGCAGTGACTTACTGCCGCAGCCATGTGTCGAACCTGGAGCCATTCGCATGGCGCGCTGTGCGTGCCCAATCTGCTATGGTAAAGGGGCCGCTTCCTCACCGGTCAGTGGTGTGGGCTGATACATCGTCATCGGAAAGTTACTGGATTCTGTTTTCAACATGCTTTCAGTAATCACATGCCGGTGGAAATTCACACATACTTAAAACAGGACTTTATGGTTCGTAGAGCAGGTGGACTGTATGGCATCAAATTCATTAACATGAGTTCAGTGTCATCGCTGTCATCATTATTATAGTTTTTGATGAACATTCAGGTGAGCGAAAATAGGCCCTAATGAAAGTGAACTTCCTCCTAAAGGTAAATCTGGCCCTGTATGTCATTAATCACCAGCTTAATGGAGGTATAGCTCCATGCATTCACAATCTCAGAATTAGATGAAGATAAGCTGTCAGCTTCACGTCTTGGCCGCTTTTATTGCCCGGGAAGGAGTCCCAGGTACTTATTGCATAGGAGGCTGGGTGGGTATCGGACGGTGTGGACGCTGCAGAGAAGCGAAAATCTCTCTCCTCTTCTGGGAATCAAACCCACTTTCCTCAGTTACCTAGCCCGCAGCTTAGTATACTGACCGAGTACTGCCGGCTATAACGCATTATGAAGATTTCCACAAATAATTTCCAAGATTGTAAATTTAACAGTCGTGCTTACCGTGCTGACCGCCTCTGTGGTCTAGTGGTCAGAGTTCCTGGGTACAGATTTTCTGAGACGGGGTCCACTCAGCATCATGAGGATAATTGAGTAGCTATTTCAAGGAAATAGCGGTTCCGGTCTAGAAACACGAAATTAACGGCCGTCGGGATTCGTTGCGCTGACCACGGGACACCCTCTATCCGCTAAAGTTGGTACGAACTTCGCCGACAAGCGGCGGTCACTCTGTCGGTATAGTTCGCTTGCAGACTAGAACCATGGAGTTTTTTTTGTTACTTACCGTGCTGACTCATTGGCTTACTCTAAAGCAGGAGAGACAACGTTTCACAAATTCTTGCAGAGTTTAGAAGGAACGACGCTCCACTGAATGGAGCATGTGGTGCTTTATCGGCTTTGGGTAGGAGTAAGAAGAATAATAGAATAGCGTTAATAGGGCCGTCTACACAAGAATGATATCCACAAACAAGAAACAAATATCAGCATTCATTTGCCATGTTTTGCTACATGTATTTGTTAGATCATACCTGAGAAAATGTTAGTATTTGCTGTCAAAATTAAATAATTGGTAATAATATGGATCCATATTAAAATCAAAATTGAAGAACTGAGATTGAATTCTTGTAAATTCTCCAGATGGTGACCTCTTGGAGGTGGAAACATGTAATGAGACACCTTTGCTCAATAAACGAATGTTGATATGTTAATATTGATTTGTTTTGTGTGTGGATATTGTTGTGTAGATGTTCCTATTAACCCTGTTGTGTGGCATAACAAGATGCGTACCACTAAGTAAGAAGAATAATCATGACTATAATGTTGGTGCAGTATAAATGCAACACCCTATATTGCCGATACTTATTCAGCACAGGCGTATTTACTCCATACCAGATCAGTGTTCATGTATGCAGTGATGGACCTAGTGTTTCCAGTTCTCACAACACAGCTTTCGATTACAGCAACATGGGCATTGAATGAAATCTTAATGCGATTAGGGATAACTCAATGTCATGACTGACTGATACCGGTCTCATGTTGCAGGTATACTCTCCAACCGGATTTGAGAAATACGCTTGCACCTACACTGTTGGGGACTATAGAATCCACTTCGTGGTGTGGGACACTTCAGGTGAGTCCCAGCACATAGGAGCTACAGAATTCACTTGGATGCTTGGGACAGAACAGGTGAGCCCCACTATGTGAGACCTATAGAATCCACTTAATGGTGTGGGACATTTCGGATGAGTCCCATCATGTGAGGCCTACAGAATCAACTTCGAGACTTGGGACAATTAGTGAGTCCCATCACGGAGGATCTACAAAATTCACTTTCAGGCATGAGACTCTTTTATGTGAGTCCCATCACACGGGATCTACAGAATCCACTTCAAGCTGTGGGATACTTAAGGTGAGTCCCATCATGTAGGAGCTACAGAATTCACTTAAATGCTTGGGACAGAACAGCTGAGTCCCACTACATGAGATCTATAGAATCCACTTCATGATATGGGACCTTTCAGATGAGTCCCATCACGTGAGATCTACAGAATTAACTTCAAGGCGTGGGACACTTCAGGTGAGTCCCAGCACACTAAAGAAAGCTTTGTACGCCCTTTGTCTCTTACCCAGATACGTGAATTGAACAGATTTTCGTAATTCTGTAAATAAATATGTATTTTAATTTTATAAAAAGATAAAACAGTTCCATCCAGTGTGACTGATGAAGATTTTTCTTATTTCAATTCTTCATGCCCTTACATGTTTCAGTCCTTAGATACCATCATCAGAGGGACATTGATACAGTCTGGAAACCACTATTACAATGGGTGTTCTGAATGTTAAAATATACATACAATGCTCACAATGCACAAATCCAAAGTTTTCACAACTACAGCAGCTATCTTGATATATTCATTTTTTTTTTTTAATTTTGTTAGTTAAGTTAGAATTTATAAATCAAATAGGTTCGTGTTCTCTCTCTTATCACCTCTCCTGACGGGGGCTGAACTTGTGCCGCCTGTCTTTCTTGAGAAGAAGGTTCTTTGATGTCATCCTGTGGTTGTTCGTGGCCTGCTGTGTTGTTTGTAAAATGAACGAACAAGAGAAGCTGAGTTGACATAATGCAAGTAATAAGACATAGTGCCAAAGTAATGAATTGGAATTACAAAATTGCCCAGCAGTCACCATCCAAAAAGGATACACAATGTTGATCTCTTAAAACAGAATTCCAGCATACTCAGTTCCTTCCCAGGAAACTGTTGTGAAACTGGAGACAAATTTCCATTCATTTAAAGACAGTAGCAATTTAAACATAGGATAATGCATACACTTACAGAAGTCTTGGTGGAGAGTAAGATCCCTGGATCTTCAGAGTATAAATCCTGTATACTCTTAAGTGATATATGATTGTCTCTGTTGCAGGCACAGGTGCGTATGATAATGTGCGGCCACTTGCATACCAGGATGCGAAAGTGTTCCTGCTGTGCTTCAGGGTGAGCGATCCTGATTCACTGGACAATGCTGTGAGCAAGGTGTGTGGTTTGTGTATTGTATTATAAAAATGTACAATTCCTATGAGCTATATGTTGTGACATGGTGAATGTAACAAAGTGAATATTTTGTGAGCTGTGTGTTGTAACAAGGTGAAAGTTCTGTGAGCTGTGAACAAGGTGAATGTCCTGTGATCTGTGTGTTGTAAAAGTTAGAAAAAGGTAAGATAAAGCTATCCCTTTAACAGGCCATGGAGGCCTGTAGGGTTGTGAGATGTCAGGGCTCCCACATGTTCTTGATATTCAGCACACAGATGGTGGTGAGGTTGTCAGCCTTAGTGCTGGTTGTCCTTTACCACTGGGAAGATTTCTGGTACTCATTTCTGTTGGAGGCTGAGTTGACCCCAGGGCCATAGTATAACTGGAAGGATTAGGTCAATTGAAAAATCCAATAATCTCATTGGGAATCGACCGTCTGGCTTGTAGCATAGTGCCTCAACTATGCTACCACATGTACCTGATTTATGTGTTGTAGCAAGGTAAATGTTTTGTGAGCTACATGTTATAACAAAGCAAATGCCCTGTGAGCTACAGGTATGTGTTGTAATAGAGCGAATATTTTGTGAGCTGTATATTGTGATGAGGTGAATATCTTATGAGCTGTGTGTTGTAACAAGGTGATGTCTTGTGAACTATGTGTTCTAACAATTGAATGTCTTGTGATCTATATTTTGTAACATGATGGAGCTACCAGTATGTGTTGTAACAAGGTGGATGTCCAGACCTGTGTGTTATAATAAGATGATTGTATTTTGTGGTAAGGTGCGTAACTTGTGAGTTGTGTTGATGAGTGTTATGGGGCCTATGAGTTAATTGTTTCCAAACAGTGTGTGTTTCCCCTTACCTTGTTCCATATCCAAGCGGAAGTCCCACACTTTGATGAACATCATACAGTTCATCTACATCACAAATTTTGCAACATCCTAGGTCATGATCACTGTAGCATGTCTAATATTTTGTTATTCCATGACACATTAAGTCCCCATGTCAGGATTTTACCTGTTTGGCCAGCCATTTTTCTGTGCATGTGGGATTTTGGACTTACTGGTGCTTCAATTTAAATGCACATGAAAGGGTACAAATATAATGAATTGATAGTTGATATATTCTTCTATCCTTTTGAGTTTCAACAGGTTACTCTTAACGTTTGAGTGACATATATAGGAGAAAGTGACATTATGTACGCAATGTCAGCAGCCCAGAACTTGACAGAATCGCCACTGGCATTCAGTAAACTTCAAGCTTGACAGGTCTGTTTAGCTGATACTGTTTTATGTCATTTTAAAATTTTAACTTTCCACAGAGCCACTGAAGTTTTTAGCATCCAGTGACAGCTTCCAGTCATACCTTTACATTCTCACAACATTCATTTTATCCCGAGATGTGAAATTGATTTTTTAACTTTAACTCCATCCCCCCCTACACACACACACACACACATATGAGCGCACACAAAGACTGTGGCCTGTATGTTATGAGATGTAACAGGTGGTGCCCTGAGAGTTATGAACATGTTCTATGTGGAGCACACATTGTATTGATGAGGATGGCTTGTGACATGTTTACGAATTTCTGTGTTGTGCATATCAAAATATGTATGGTGTTGCTATGTATTATAATGATGTACACCCCATATTTTCCAACAGTTACAAGTTATAAGAAGGCGTGTTGTTTACAAGTTACATGCTGTAGAACAAAGAATTTATTTTAAAATGTTTTCGGCAATGCTAGAAACTATGGATTGCATTATTACAGTGGCATCCTGAGATCCAGACACACTGTGACACGACTCCTGTGATCCTGTGTGGCTGCCAGAGTGACTTGCGCAATGACATTGAGACCATTTCTGGTCTTGCCAAACAGAGGCGCATCCCAGTCACCTCTGAGCAGGTAATGTTGCAGCATTAATGTGTTATGTCATAGACTGACAGTAGTATTAATCTCTGTATTATATACTGCTAGAGGCTTGAGTCTCTGTCTGGAGGTGTCCTAAAGTTTTCAGTGTCTTCCCTACTAACAGGCTTACACTTCTGAAATGTAAATGAGATTTTGATAGAAACAAACTTAACTTCATTGTCTTGGGAAGTTCAAGAGAGATTTTGACACTTATGTTAAGATACAAGGTGTATCAGGAAAAGTTCCCAGACTAGACCAAAAAAGAACTACTGGCTTAACTTGCTCAATTTTGGCTGCCATCTCCTTTAAAATAGTCTCCTTTGAAATGAATACAGTGATCACATCAATTTTTCCACACTTCGAAAATGTCATGGAAATCATTTTCTTTAATGCTGTCAGGTACTACTAGCGATTCCCTTTGGATGTCAGACATTGTTTCAGAACAGTGTACCTTCAGTTTCATCAACGAAATCACAGGGGGCTAAGTCCAGCGAGTAGGGAGGATGGGGAAAGATAACCATTTTGCTGTTAGTCACAAACTCTATGGTTATCAGGGATGTGTGGGTGGGCATGTTGTCATGATGTAGGAGCCAGTTGTGGTTACGCTAAAGTTCTGGTCCTTTTCATCCTATATCTTCTCTCAAGCTTCTCAAAATATCACAGTAAAAGTCAGAGTTGACTGTAGTGTTAGGAATAACAAACTCATGGTGAACAATCCCCTTCACATTGAAAAAAAATGAGCATGCTCTTTGTTGAACTCCAGATGTTCTGCTCCTTTTTTGCTCTTGGTGACTGTAGGCTCTTCCACTGCGACGATTGTTGCTTTATGTCTGGATCATAACTGTAAATCCAAATTTTGTCACCCGTTATGATCATAGAGATAGAGTTGGGTTGTTAGTCTTCTCTCATAACTCAAGACACTCCTTTACACGCTGCTGCTTTTGATCATTTGTCAAGAGTCGGGGAACAAACTTCGTGGCAGTGAGGTGCATGTTTAAATTTTCTGTTAAGATCTCCTGGCACACTCCATAACTGATCCCAACAGTGTCTGTGAGCTCATGGATTGCTGGCAACGGTCTTTGTGGATGGGTTCTCAAATTTTTTCAACATTTTCTATAATTTTGCTGGTGCTTGGTCAACCTGAACATTCGTCATTTTCAACTGACACTCAACCAGCCTTGAAACGTAAATGCAATTAAAATACTGCTGTTTGGCTTAAAGAATGTTCTCCAAACACCTCACAAAGCATTTAAAAGGTTTCAATAACAGATTTACCGAACTTCACCCAAAACTTGATATAGAGACGTTCCTCGATTTTGCCATCCATTTCAGACAAAATGAAACACAAAGTCGAAAAATCACTCTTGTAGAAACAGTGCATGTTCACAGCATGGTGTCACATGGTAGACTGATGCAGTAGGCTTCAGGAAGTGTGACCTTGGCCTCCCCTCTCATCTTCTTTCAGCGAGGTAGTTACAACAGTAACAGTTCAGGAACTATCCGATAGCACCTTGTATTAAAGTTTATACACCAGTAGTGTACTAAGAGTATCTAGGGGATATTTTGGCAAATGTTGACATTAACACTGGATAAAGCATAGCTTCCACTGCTGCCATCTTGTGCCCCTGTTTGTAGCAACTTTGCTAATGTACACTTTACACAGAAGCAAGTGCCAGTCTTTTGTGTATTAGAATCTATGGCAAATGGTTACATTTTGAACCATTTAATAGAATTTTTGTCATGTAGCTGTTCATATTACAACTTAAGCTTTGTAAAGGCATGCAGCCTTGCATTAAACTCCACAAAAGCAGNGGTTTCTCTGAATCATATTTTACAAGCATGTACCAAACCTTTTACGGTGTTACTTGATTAGTGTTTTCATTCACTACAAATATGTGTTACCTCGGCTAGCTTTAATTATTCTTATGTAATTGGTTTTAATTTATTGACTGGTTATTAATTTTATTAATTTTATGCTATCACTCACTGGTGTCTTATCTTAGTATTTAGTTACTAACAGTATTAGCAACATTCGTAATATTTCATAAATGTATGTATATATTTCAGTCTTCTTTAGATCTATGTTCACAGATTTATTTGTCGTATTTGTATTTTGTTTTAATTATTTTGTACCTTATATACTCGTGCTAACTTTGTAATTGGCCGCTGGGCTGTTAAGTTATTGCACGTAAATAAACATGAATTGAATTGAATTGAATTGAATTATAATAGAGATTGTGTGTAACAGATGCAGATAGTGTTTAGATGGCCTGATCACCTATGAATACTAAAATTAAGTATTCACCAGAGCATGAAATGCACCTCAAAAAACTTGTCTCTTGGAGATGTATGTTAGGTCAGCAATGTGAACTCCACACTCTCTTCTGGAATGTGGATGCTTGTAGTTTGGTAGGGACTTACAAACGTTTTAGAAGAACCTGCTGCCCTCATATTGAGGGTACAAGAGTAATGCACACAGAAGAAATGATCATTCATAAAGGGGAGGGAGGACAAAGACAGGGACTTTGAGCAGATCAGTGGGAGCAGTGTGAATTGAAGGCATGTGTATGGCACTGAAGAGTGCTTAATTTGTAGGTAGGAAGATGTTTCCAAGGTAAACTGTATAGAAGGTGAAGAAAGTAAAGAGGCAGTATATGAACTAACATAAAACATTCCAGAAATCAGTAATCGTCAGTCACCACAATGAAAACCTCCAGTCTCTGACAGTGAGTGTGTTGCAGGCTGTGATGGTGAGTCGACAGGTTGGTGCTACGACATACGTGGAGACATCTGCTAAGACATCCAGCAAGGCTGTGAAAGATGCATTCGAAGTAGCAGCTCTGGCTGCACTGGGCAAGCTGAACAAGAACCACTCAGTGCTGCAGAGACAGCGTGCATACACCCAGCAGAAGAGCAAGCTTGACCTGAAGGCTGAGCTGAAGGGGCGTGCCAAGAGCTGCAACATCATGTGACCCGCCTGACCTGCTGAACGGGGCAACAACTGCCCCATCATGTGAGCAGCAGGACCCCTGCAGGCAGCGGGTCACACATATCATTCTACAGGCTGCACCAGCTGGATGCTTGGCCACCTGGTGAACACAGGCTAATTGCAAGCTCCACTGTGCCAATGGGGTTAGCCTCTTATCTGCTTGGTCAGTTGCTAGGTCTGGGCCAGTAATCTGACTGGAAATGGTGTCTACTGCACTCTGTTATCATAAAATTGAAAGCTGTATGAAGCACCTGTCACCAGTGAGCTCTGTCCCTCTCAGTGACTGAGGTAGAGCTATCTGTGAGCACTAATGTGATGCAGGACCTTGTTTTGTCATGTTTTTAGGTATACTGTCTGTTAAATTTATACATTTTCAGAAACTATAGGAATGTTACATGTTGCAGTGTTTGAAACTGTCAATTTACAGAGCCAGGTGAGCTCATTGTTTATACTTTGAGACAGCCTTGAATTTTGAAATCATCAGTTCCAAATTAAATATTCAGTAGCTGTTTGAAGTTTGTTAATATTTAAAATGTTTTAAATTTTTGTATCTGAAGATATGGACATTGTTTAGAGCATGGATCCCCAGTTTCATGTTTGTGTGACTACAAGGACCACTTTCTTGTGCTCTGGTAGCGCTGGGGACGCATGCTGGCAATGTGTGCCCGTGCTTTTAAAATAGGGAGCAGGCCTCCTTCACAGTGCATTTGATACAAGCTGATATTTTAAAGTAATATTAAGTGAATTTTTTGGAGCAAAAAGCAAAATCTTTAAGCTTTGGTGTTTTAATACATATAGTTGGTAGCAGTGACAATATTTTATGAATGTTCACAACATTCAGTGTGAAGTACACTAGATGGGTTATTTCCATAGTGAACAGATATTTCTGTCATGTGCAACTTGCAGGCAGTTTGTTACCTTCACCCTTATTGTATAGATCCTGTACAGCCTCAGCTGGAATCCTGGAGAAAAGTTCAAGATCACATTCCAACAGTTTTAGCATCTCTGTCAAAGTTTATTTAGTGTAAAATGGTATCAGAGGACTTATAAGCTAAGGATATAGATGGAAGTGGTCATTCAAGATGACCTGTCTTGAAAATGTGGGAGCCTTGACATCTCATAACCCTATAAGCCTCCAAGGCCTGTTACAGGGATAGCATTACCCTTTTTTTTAGCTAATAAATGCAGAGATTCTTATGGGATGCAAAAACAGGTATGCAGAATCAAGAATACTGTCTTCTGATGTGCAATATGGTGGAGAGGCACCAATACTTTGGAGAGACCTGCTGCCTTCATCTGTAGGGTAGGCTTCTGCCATGGGTTAATTTCATAAGGAAATATGGGAGGCTTTGAGTAAGCAAAAGTGTTTAAGGAAATATATAATATTACAGATGTGTGCTTGTGTGGAGGGACTTGATATGGCATGTTACTGCATGTATTTATATTGTAGCATGTAGGGCTGTTGCTATGCAATGACCTTGAAATCGGGGGGATATACCAGGGCATTGGCTTACTAAACATGTTCCCATTGCTAGTCAGCAGATTCTTAATAATGCAACAGTTGGACTAGAAGAGTGGAAATGGGGCATTTCTGCCTGGTTTGTCCTGAGATGTTACAAGCAAGGGACGAGGTTAGAGCTTAGTCAGTTGATGGTGAGTTCTGTATGCGAGTCTGTGAGGAAAGGACTTGAGCACGTGAAGCTGAAGAATCTCCACTGTTAACATGTGTTACCAGGAAACGTCTAGTGAAGACACTGCAGGCTGGAGAATACTTAGTGTTTACAGCTGCAATTTGTGAAGCAGCGTGGAGATTAGCAGTGGCACTGTAATTACTTGTAATTCTGGGTGCTGTGGTAAAGTGGTCAGTAAATCAAGTCACCAATCCAAACCCCATCTATAGTCACCCCTACACGTGAAAATATTTGTATGTGTCCTTGCAGACATTTCTTGGATGATAGAATGAGTCTTCAACTGAATCGATCTTCAGTTGAGCAACTGTTTTATACATTAAAATTCTTTCCTCCTGTAGAACTGGATTTGTTCTACAAAGTAATAAGCTTTGTCCCACCAGAGTTTAGAAACGGTGATTTACAGAATTATTCCCAACTTTCCAAAGAACAGCTGAGTTGGACATGTGTTTCTCTGGAATTCCATCAACTGAGCTGGCATAGTGGTAATGCTCTGGACTCATTAAGAAGGTGCTTCGTTCGAATCTCAGCTAGAACACTGGCTATCCTGCTTTTTATGGTTTTCCCCAGTACCTCCAGGAAAATACCAGGATACAGTATATATCTTGTAGTTACTATAGGATTCTGACGATGGTGTATAACACCATATATATTGGGTTTTTGGACTTCATCCATCGTCCTGGTTTAGTTATCTTAAAAATCAGGGCGATGGATGAAGTCCAAAAACCCAATATATATGGTGTTATACACCATCGTCAGAATCCTATAGTCACTACAAGATATATACTGTATCCTGGTATTTTCCTGGAGGTACTGNTCCTACCATTTGACACTATCTTGTCTCGATTCTTAGAGTACTGTAAAATAGAAAGTGACATGTTAAATTCCAAACAAATATGCACAAACCATTAATATGAATTCCAAGATTTTCTGTACCAAATTGTCTCAAACCAAAATTGTGCATGAATGTGTTTTTTATTGCATATCTCTGCCCACAGTCGGTCCAAGGTTACTGTAAAGTGGCAAAGCTTCTGTTGGACTACTTGGCACTGGTTCTGGGAATCATTTCTGAGTTCCCAAATTGTTATGCTGCTGCTGCTTGTGAGTCATGACAGAAGTGTGTGTTTAGATTCAGTTTCATGCCAAAGTTTATTTGCACTGCAGAGGAGCCACTCCTCAGCCACTAAAGCGCATCGCATCGCATCATGTAGAGTGTTACTGTCACTCTCACTTATACATAATGATGGCCTATGTTTTGTATAACATTTAATATATACCCAAGTGTACATTTGTAATAAACTTGTCGTCAGAATACACACCACATCAGTGCTGGTCCTCGCTAGAGGCCGGGTGGTCTGTTAAGGCATGTAGCATTTTGATACATTTTGATGTAGTGTCATAGCTTGTCTTGTAGTACTAACTTGTAACTGGATCACTGGTTGCAGTGTGCCTGTGTGACGTGAGTATGTTTGCACTTCTCAAACCTGATGTTCTTCTGTAGACTAAATTTTATTTTTAACATTTTTTTCTGTTGAATAATGTATGAATGATTGTAACAAACCTTCACACAACCATTTCCCTTTATTCATCAAACATAATATCGAAAGTGACATTGTTAGATGGCCATACATCGTAGTTTTGTGTGCCTGAGCTGTTGGTCACTCGTTGTGACATGCCTGACAGACCACAAGAAAGGAATTGGTTGTTCAGATAATGCACACAAATAGACTGGGCTTGTTTGCTACCCTCAGTCAGTACTGTAACCCAAAGGTAATCTGAGGTTTGAGCATGACTTATAAAGCCACATAATCAAAAACACAATTCTTTATTCACCATCTTTAATGTTTTGATACAGAATGTTTAAATAATCTCAGAAATCATGCAAAAACATGTGCAGTCAGTGATTCAACTGTTAGAGATTTGATGTTCTCACAGCAGTGACTATGAAGATTGTGGTCTTCTGGGAAGTGATGACGTAGTTTTGTTAACAGGAACTAAAATTTTGGAGAAACATGTTGTCATCTTTGAGATACCTTCAACATGGAGACAACGGGTTTAGCCACCAAAGCACACAGTCACATCTGAGAAGACCAGGATCTACACTTGTACAACATTCTGCTGTCTCACAGGCATGATATCATGAAGGTGCTTGATGTTGTCAAGCCAGGGTACACAACCACGTGGAATACAGTTCAATATGAATATATCTCTGTGTGTTTATGGCCTCTTCTGATCAGGTGAGAGCTTGTACCATTGCAGTATTTCTTTGCTGTCAGCACACCAGCGGATTAGGATCAGAGACTCTTGGTGAGTTCATAAGAAATGTGTTAATTTCATTTAGTGGTAACTGTAAGTAGGATTGAGAGAGTCATTGTCTCCTGTTTCAGAAATCTGCCTGTCAGTGCTAGGTATAACCCCCAGAACCTTAGTCACAGGAGATATAATTTGTCATTATTCACTGCATGAAATGAGAACTGGTTCAGCATAGTACTTCAGTAAACATTGACTTCCCATTGTCTTCTGATGCCATGCTGTTGATCTTGGCAAAGGCACCTTCACAGAAAGTTGTGTAGGACATTTATCTGTTGGTCCATATGAAAGAATTTGGTTTTAACCTGACAGATTTTGAACTCTGAATGGACTGCACATCATTATATCCCAAAAGGTAGATCTGTTCAGTTTTTGAAAAATTTAGTATACAAGATGACATTAAAATTTGATAGCAAGTTTGATTTTGAGCTGCATCAATCTCACAACAGAAGGAGAGGAAAGTTACACTCTGATATTTTTCACCTCCTAAACCAGCTTCCACTTCTGATGGAATTCTGTGTAGTTACTTCACTTAAACATTGAATGTTGTCACGCATGTTGGATTTTAGCCCTTACATGTGACTTTAACGGGCCTGACTCACATGACCTGATCTGCCCCATTCATCTAACTGTGGAACTTTCCAGGTAGTCTTGCCCTTTGATGATTCAAACAGAGTTTGGAGGCCACACTGTTTGCCTCGTAATAAAGACATGATGGCACTGAAGTTCCTTGATTTTATCATCACACAGATGTGAACTTTGGGTTCTACCAGCGGACATTTCTTAAGTCAGTCTGACCATGTATTGTTCATGGTGATAGGTGATGTGCCACTACTTTGTGAAATATTGATTATGTCTGTTTTCTGGCATATGTTCTCTCTTCCTTCCCCATACTCCATCTGTGGAATTATTATGTTCAGTTTTTCTCTTTTTCATTGAGATATTCTTTCATATTGACTTGGTATGTGCAGGGCCAGCACGGACAGCCAGGCTGCTTCCTGGGGTGGCACAGTTTTGGAAGCATCATGTTTTACAGACAACCATTTTGGTGCCTGTTCAATGAAAACTAATGTTTGCTCATTATTTGTTCATATCCTGAGCAATGATTGACAGTAATCTAAACACATTTAGTGTCAATGTTAAGTATGGCTGTTTTAAGAATTACAACCACCAATGACAGTTTTTGCCACAGTATCCAGAAATTTCATGTTAACACTTCGCGGACCGGTGCTTTAAATATTTAAATCACCCTGGGGACCGGCATTTTTAAATATACTACCCTAACTTGTGCACTGGTCACTTTAAAAATTAATATAAAATCGCCTAATTAATTTTTTGAAGTAAAATTTTTGGAGAACACTTACCAATGCTCCTAGAAGTGCTTGAGGGTGTGATATTTCTGGAAACTTTCCCCTTTGTGAAGTGGCATTACACAGAACTTGCAAATGTAGACATACTCCTTTTTTTGTGAACTATGAAAACACGGCATTGCCTAGTAGTATTCTTCCCCTTGGAATGTTCACTCTTCACAGTTCTCACGAGGGTATGTTTCCGCATATCATTCAAGAGTCGCCCTAAGGGGTCCACATGAGGCCTTCATGGGGTGGGAGTTGATGGGCCCGTTCATACTAAGTCTTTGTGTGACCCTGGTTCAGCCCCCACCATCTGGACTGTAGCCCAGGCCTATGCCACATTCATCAGGAATGCTTTGTACTTCAATTTTGAATCAGGGTTTAGATTTTTTTTTTTAGATTTTTTGCTGTCCCTGCAATGTTACTACACCCAATGTTATTACCTGCATTATCATCAGAGCTACTGTCACTTTTACTGTCTGTGGCCACAATTCTTTGTTCCCCGTCACTGTCGCTGTCTGAATGACAATCCATTATTACGCGTCTCACAAGGCAGGTCAGCTAGGTGATCGGAGGAGAATTTGTCCTTGATCCATTCTCTGCACTAGCTGCTGGCTAATACACACAGCTTGAAGAAGGCAAAGCATTTTCCTTTATAGTTGGTTAAGTAAACAGCGAGGTCAAGTTACTGACTGCTAACTAAACATTCCAGAGTCTTATCACGCATCTGCAGGCGCTTACGTGCAATGTAGGTGACGCCAGAGTGATGTATAGTGTGTTGCAACTTATCGTGTTCTAAAAACCTGTTAACACGCGAACGGTCCGCCATGTTTAAAAGCGAAAAACCTTTTAAAGGTTGCGGTGTCCGCAAAGTGTTAATTGTGGAAAAGTTTTGAAAAACTTTGTGTTTTTGATTTCTGTGGCGGGGGGCATAATTTATTATTTGCTTAGAGTAGTATTTTGATTAGCACTGGCTTTGACGATGTGCCTGAAATAAGACATTGTTTTTCTTTCTTTCATTCCTAGTGAGGGCCAATGAACATTTTTTATTTGAATTTCACAGAAGCAGTGATGAAAAAGTATATTTCAGTGCAATGCACGTATTGTCTAAATGCAGCCATTGCAGTTTTCAGTGACCATTGGCACTGAATTCATTTATTGGTGACAGAAATGTATTATTCACAAACTTAGTGTTTCAGAGTTAACCACACTACAGAACTGAAAATTGTTTTTTCAGTATTAGATTAAATATTCACCATATCAAGAAATCTTTCAAACCAAGGTTGTCTCTTAATGATGTGCATTTTGTATCATGTGCCAACTGTTCTTATGGGAGTCTCCTTTTAACAAAGTGTGACTTGAGCTTCATATAAAGTGGAGGGTTGTACTGGACCAATATAAACCAAAATTAAATTCATCCAACAATTTTTAATGTAGACAAAATATATAAAATTTAATTTAGATTCAGGATTACTCTTCTGGGATGTGGCATCATGGATCCAGGTTCACAGATACCGATGTTTTAGATGACCCTGCTTTTGCTGTCTTCAATGCAGAAGAGTAAGCTGTGGTCATTCAGGGGTCTTCATTTCTCATTTGCCTGTTTATAGCTCCATTTTCTTCCTCCTTTCTATGTGCTGTGCCTTTGTTTTCCCACATTTCTTGTATCCTGAATAGGTAGAGGCAGGAGGTTCCTTGAAATGTTGGTATCTGTATATCAGACTGCATGGCTTCACATCTCAGAAGACTGTAATCTTCATGTTTACCGCTGTGAGGACTTCAGATCTTCATTTTATCCAACTTCATAGTTTTATACTTGAAACATGCTAATATAGACAGTTTNTAACAAGACACGTTACATTGGTGTCAGAAGTGGGATCAGTAACGCAAAACACGTTACAGTATTATTGTTTCNCAAAACATGCATTAAGAGTAACGAGTTTTAATATATAAGCAAAAATGGTATAATTATTTATGAAAAAATTTATGTGATATTAGCTCTACTTACCGATGACTGACATCTGTAACCTTGTGATGGGTCAGGTTATATGTCACAAGATTCACGTGAATTGCAGTCCTGTAACTATGTGAGACTGTAAGTTAGGTGATTACAGATGTATCTACAAATTGTAAGATAGCGTTTTATGTATGTCAGTGTTGAGAATTCTGTTTGGGCAGATCCCCATACAATGTGGTGATTGCATGCAGCAGTGTAAATCACCAAGGAAACTTAACTTTTTTTGTTAAGTTTGCTGCCTTCTGGGATGTGACGCCATATCATTTAGTAGATTGTTACCAAAATTTCTGAAGAACATCCTGCCTCCCTCTTCAGAGTAGAATAAGATGGAGGCAGCAGTTTCTTCAGAACATTAGTAGCCATCTACCAGACTGTACTCGGAAAGCTCCTCCAAATTGGTGATAATTTACCAAGCTCATCTGCCTTGAAGGTGGAGGCAGCAGATCCCTTTGAAGCACTGGTAATGATCTCTCAGACTATATGGTGTCATATCCCAGAAGGCAGTAAACTTCACAGTTACTGCAGTGAGAGCCTGAAGTCACACTCACTCTTGCCTTGATAACAGCACAACCCTCCAGCTGCCAAAGAGTGGAAGTGCTCTGTCATGGTGAGTGAGTGTTTCTTCTGGTGTCCGTGCCCATGTGGTGGTACATCTGCACTGGCTGCCATTTCAGCGTAGACCTGCCCGAGTGAGTGCACATTGTGGCCTTATTTATGGCTCTTAAAACAACTCATTCGTTTTTTAATTGTCCAAAGCACAATTGTTATGTAGCACAGGCTTGACTGTATCTTAGCAATGTTTGTATTGATGGCAATGCAAATACCATGTTCATCAGTCAGTCTGAAATGCAGCATTACTTCGTATGTCAGAATTTGAAACTAAGTTGAGATTGAATATAATTGCTACAGAAATGTTGTTCAACACCTACCCCTTTAATATAATCTGATGTAAAACTGAATTTACAGCATAGGACTAAGTTTCCTAATTGGTACTGCAAAATGTCTAAATAAGTGGCATATTGTGTCATATTAGGAGTCTGGGGTTCAGTCCTAGTTGACTTCATGTGGGATTTGTGGTTGATGATGTGACATTGGAGCAGGTTTTTTTTTTCCTGAGAATTTATGATTTTCCCCAATTAATCACCATTCCACCATTGATCCATATTCATCTATCATCACCCCCTGAGGTGTATGATAGCCCTGACCAATCACGTTATCACATTATCTGCATGTAATTTGGAGGCTTCATGTTGGACCTGGCACTTGGCTGGTTACAGAGTAAAGAAGTTATGTTTCTCTTTATGTGTTGAAAAATTCCACATTGAAATAAATTTGTATTAATTTATAAAATTGAGTAAAATGAACCATTGTACAGTAATTAAATATTTGAGTTGTTTAGTATGGAATTTCGAAGCTTTTCAGTCAGGACCACACATTGCTAGGCATGATGCCACTGTTTGATGAATGTCCTGTTGGAAATGTATCATAGAGCCAGACTGTAGCACAATTGCTGTTGATAATAAATGTCTTCAAGTTTACTTGCAGATTTGCAATGCTAATTCTGCCAAATCTGCATCATATGCAAATTGAGAAATAAATCTGAGTATGTTCCAAGGGTGTACACGAAGGAAGATCCATCAAGGTGAGACAAATGTCAACACAGTGAAAGACAAGGACAGCATGCAGGAGAAATCATGTAATACTTCATCAGAACTTTTACAGAAAGCACACAAAGTTAATCAGAGTTATCCCAAAAAATAACTGTGTTACTTTCTAATGGTTATAAATGCTTGTTATATTGCAATATTAGCATGAGTTGTTTGACAGTTGACAATTCAGTAGGAAATGTTAACAGTTACCATCTCTAGATACGGTTTCCAAAGATTATCTTTCACTCTGTCCCTTCTTACAGTTTAGAGCCCTTGAGGGACATTTTGAAATCACTTTTCCACCGAATATGTACATTATGAACTTGGTAAGTTCTGGAAAGACAGCTTGATAGGAAAAGCATAATAATAATGGTCTAGAGGTATCTCACATTCACAAATCGGCATTGTAACACCGACATATGACACTGTAGAACCAGTTGAAATATTGCTGTTTATTGCTGTCATCATCTTCTTCTGTCAGTACATACTAACCAAAGTGTTGCATAAAGCTTCAATGTAAATGACATAATTATGTGATAAACATTATTATAAAATCAAACTCTATCCTGAAGAATACAGTCTTCTGGGAAATAACACTGTGTAGTCCATTGAGGGTCAACCAACGTTTTGGAGGATCATATCACAACCATCTTCAGGGTCGAATAAGCCAAGCAAGGTACCAGTATGAAAGCAGGTGGCAAGCAGCTGAAGATAGAGGTGATATATTCCTTTGAAATGTCGGTTGACTTTCAATGGGCTACATGGAATTATATCTCAGAAGAAACAACCCTTCATAACCAGCACTGTGAGAACCTGAAATCCTATGGACACTGCTTAGCTTAGACTAATTGTACATATAGATGACAGCTTGCAATCTGTTAACAATCGTAACAGTTGTTAAAGTTATTCTAAGTCATAAAAATGTTGAACCTTCTTTTTGAACCTTAAATCACAGTCACATTACCAAAAGCCGCACTAGTTCCAATTATTGTGTACAGGGTGGTGCACAAAACCATCCAATATTTGATTAAGTATTAATTATTCAACCATGTAATGAACAATGGTAACACAGTAGATCATGATGATTATTTCTTACTCTTCCAAAGCTTGCTAGTATCACGCTATTCCTGCTCATGCTCCAGTTTACACAAGATGGCTGAAGAAGAAAGACTTCCTGTAGAAGAACACGTAAAAATAGTGTTGTTCTTTACTGAAACAAGAAGCATTGTGGTCACACGAAGGCAGTTTAGTGCCTAATTTCAAACGTGATGGGTGCCTTCATTCAAAACAATTCATCCCATATACCGTTTTACAGGTTTTGTTATGGTGTGCAATATTTAAAGGTAAAACGTTCATGCGCTTAATTAATTAATTCACCACCCCATGAAGACATGAAGAGTGAAGGTATAGCGCGGCCGCGCCATAGCTCAAGCAGTTAGTCGCTGGCTTCCCACTGCGGTGGCCCGGGTTCGATCCCGGGTCTGGTCAGTGGGATTTGTGGTGGACAAAGTGGCGCTGGGGCAGGTTTTCTCCTAGTACTTCGGTTTCCCCTGCCAATCTTCATTCCACCAATTGCTCCACAATCGCCCTCGCTCGCAGCAGTAGTCTTAGTCCCACCCTACTAGCGCGCGCGCACACAAAAAAAGACGGTATAGCGCCACCATTCTTGGCCTCAGCACTAGATGGGAGTGCTCATCTCTACCCCCCAGGGAAAGTACCCCTTTTACACATTGTATAGGAGTCTGGTTGGGCCCATGTGGGCGCTATGGAAAAGAGAAGGTCTCTTTCCCCTGCTGGGAATCAAACCCCGATTCCTCGGCCATGGAGCCCGTATCTGGGCTCCATACTGTGCAATGCTAATTATGCTGTTTTGCACATTAGATTAGTTTTACAGTCGTTGTGCGAGGGCCGGTTTGTGTTCTCTTGTATCCACTATCAAGACTGGTTCCGAGATTGTGGTCGTGGCGGACAGACGTAGGGATACTGTGAATTATGTATACCGATGCGTGTAGATTGGCATCGGCCGTGTGGAGGTACGATACTTTGACTGTTTTTACTCTCAAATTTCTGTATTATACTGCGGCACTAAATCCATCTTGATTATCTTGATTGCCACAGCAGTGACATCTGAACGCAGGTGAACGCAAGGCCAGTAATAACTGACGTACGAGTTTGTTTCTGTGTGTGTAGCTTTTAACGTGTTTACTGCTGATCGTTGAAGCTTGAAAAAGAAAAATAGGTGGGAGTACTAAGAGGCACTACTTTTTATGTGGGGCAAACGAACATTTCCGAATTTGAAGACTTCCAGGCAGTGTCCGTTTGTCCTGTTTTGTAAACGTAGGCGGGAGACAAGTTAAAGAACTGGGAAGCGGACGTCGTTACTTGCAGGATAAAGAAGCTGAGAAAGAATTTACTGCTCTTGATCGGAATTCTGATATTAATACTGAGAGCGCTGCATTAAGGTGAGATTTTGTTTTGATATTAGGGTAACATTTTGAGGTTAGTACTGTGAGGGCTGCATGTGGAGCAGGCATTGCAACGTAGAATTTTGGAACTATATCAGCATTTGCTTTAGGATCGAGGAAACTCATGGAACATCTTGATGCTCATCAGAATACAGGCATCCGAAAGCTATTTCCTGCCCGTGTTGTTGCTTTCTTTTGAAATTCTTACAGATTTTTTTACAGAGGTTTGTTCGTGTTTGTACTTCGGGTGAATAACGAACAATTTTGAGGACGTGCAAGGGGATGGGACACGCGGTAGCGTAGTTGGTTGAGGTACTATGCTACAATTCGGAAGGTCGAAGGTTCGAGTCCCGATCAGGTGGATTTTTTTCTAGTTTACTTAATCCTTCCAGCCGCACTGCTGCCCTGGGTGGACTGTGTTTAACAGAACTGAGTACCAGGAATCTTCCTTGGGGGTAAAGGGCGGCGGGCGCCTAAGGCCGACTGTCTAAGAGAAAATGTGGGATCCTCGACGTCTCACAACCCTATGGGGCTTCACGGCCTGTTACAGGGACAGTTTAACCGTTTTTATTTTGCGTAGCCACTCGTTGGGCGACCACTTTCTAACCGATTTATTTGCTCTCTAGTAGCCACTCTCGGCACTGCCCCTCGTTGAGGATGCCACTTTTTATCCGCCCTTTTCTTTGTCTTCTTCCTCCCACTCACTCCTTATCCGTAGTTGAACGCCATGTGATCCCAAAACCACGCCGAAAATATCGGGAGTGGTGTGTGTATGGAAACAGGAATAATGTTTAAGGTGCGAGCATGGGGATTCCACTCAGGGCTTAACGGGCTTTGCTCCGACAAGAGAGGGTTCACCGAAGAGTCACTGGACCACACCCTAGTAGTGAAACGATGAAATTAATTTATTGTTAACAGCACTACACGATATTACACAAATCAGCCCTTTTAGGACCTAATGCTTGTTTCATCCATGTTCAGGTAAAGTTTTTCGACCGCGTGTGCTACTTTATTTTGGAACTCGCAAGTAGGGGACTTAAACTGGAGAACACAGTACGTCCTTTTCTTTTCTTGGGGTGGGGTGAGACAGTCCACTTTGTACGTAGGCCACTAATTGGCCTACTGTACCAGTCCCGGACGATAGATCACGAATGTGGATCAGTCGGTGGAATGAGAATTGGCAGTGGAAACCGAAGTACTCGGAGACAACCTGCCTCAGTGCCACTTTGTCTTCCACAAATCCCATATGACGACCTGGGATCGAACCCGGGTCGCCATTGGCGAATTTGGTAACAGTGGTCACTCCGCGTACGTCTAGAGGTATGTAGGATTTGATGATCTCACAGCGGTGGTTATGTAGAGTTCAGTATTCTGAGATATAGCGCCTTGTAGTCCGTTGAAAGTTAGCCGACATTTCGGAGGAACATTTCGCCTCCATTTTCAGGGTCGAATAAGCCAAGCAAGATACCAGCGTGAAAGCAGGTGGCAAGCACAGCTCTTGCTTGGTCTATTTGTCCATCCTGAAGATGGTGGCGACAGGTTCTTTCGAAATGTTTGTTGGCTTTCAACGGATTACATGGCGTTATATTCCAGAAGAGAGAACTCTTCTTCAAGAGATAGGAATCCTACTATAGTGTTTGTTTATTATAAAGGAAGAGCTCATCAATGTCTTAATTATTCCTTTCCTTCTGCCGAACGCACGTGCAGAGAGCACACTATAATTTTAAAGTTTCGTTTAGAATTTTGTTTTAGAGTGCTCGGATGCTAGGGTTGGCCACACTGGAGTCCCGTGAGCGTCCGAGAGTAGGCGGGTTTGTCAGGGGAAAGTCGGATGTATATTGAAAAGATGCTGAAGATTCTGAAAGCGCTAGAGGCACTGGATGGGATAGGTTGAAGACAGCATCGTAAGGCAGGCGTTTGAGGTTATGTAAGTGGATCAGTCATTCATTGCACAAACCGGAATCTTAACTTACCCAGTATTTGGCTGTGTTTCACAAGCTGATAGTAAGAATATTTATCAATCGTAATCCGTTTCACTTTGCCTTCCAAAGTTTGGTCCAGCGACCTAGTATGTGAGGAATTTTTGCTTACCAAGCTGGGTGTATGTGAAAACGTACTGAAGTCTGACATGTGAACTTTGCAGTGGCTCGCACTGGTGGAAGTAATATTGAAACTGGATTTACGGGAACAGATTGGGGGCGGGGGTGAGGGCTCGAAATATGAGTTCTTATATTTTAGAACAAATAATTACATCACTCACTCATGGAGCTGAGCCCTTCTTGAGAAGCCGCCAATTGTGCAGCTTCACAGCATTTTATGAAACCCGAAGGTTCATTACCATGTTCACAAGAGCCCTCCACCGGTCCCTATCCCGAGCGAGATCAATCCAATCCATTCCTCTAACATTCTGTCTATCTAAGATCCATTTTAATATTGTCCACCCACCTATGCCTTGGTATTCCCAATGGTCTCTTTCCATCTGGCTTTCCCACCAATATCCTATATGCATTCCTCTTCTCCCCCCATTCATGCTACATGCCCTGCCCATCTCATCCTTTACTTGCTCATTCTAATTGTTCTTGGAGAATAGTACTCCCTGTCACTTCACCTCACTTTGGTCCAAATATTCTCAACACCCTGTTCTCAAACACCCTCAGTCTATGTTCCTCCCTTGATGTCACAGTCAAAATTTCACACCCACACAGAACCACAGGCAAAATTATAGTTTTGTATATTCAGATTTTTATGTTTTTATACAGCAGATGAGAAGACAAAATGTTCTGCACTGAATGGTAGCAAGTGTTACCTGAGTTCAGTCTCTTAATTTCCTCCTGAATCAGGTTTTGACTTCTATCATTATTACAAAATATCTGAACTGTGCCACATTTTCAAAACATCTGTTTCCTATCTTTATGTCATGATTTTGCCCTGCATTTTGATGATGAGAGAGCAACATATACTTAGTTTTCTTTATGTTTACTTCTAGACCAACCTCCTTACTTGTGTCAAAGTTTGTGTTTTTCTTTATGGTATCTGTATTATCACCCTGTAGATTCACATCAGCATAGACCAACAGCTGATGTGTACCATTTAATTTCAGTTCCACCTGGTTTTCCCAGACCTTCCTAATGGCATATTCTGAAGCAAAGTTGAAAAGCAGTGGTGATAAAGCATTTCTTTGTTTTAGACCATTCTGGATAGGGAAATTATTAGACAAGTGAATTTGATTTGTTTCATTCTGGTCCATCACACTAACAATATAATGAAAAGTTAAATAGTTCCGTCCAGTATGACTAGTAAAGATTTTTCTTATTTCAGTTATTTATGCCCTTACATGTTTCGGTCTTCAGAGCTGTTCAGAGTGGAACAGCCGCTGTAGTTCTAAAGACTTTAGATTTTATACCCAATTGTATATTATTAATATTATATGTATACATTTTAACTTTCAGAACATATATTGTAATAGTAGCTTCCAACTGTATTGATGTAAAGGTGTCCCTCTGATGATGGTCTCTGAAGACCAAAACATGTAAGGGCATAAATAACTGAAATAAGAAAAATCTTTACGAGTCATTNAAGTGAATTTGATTTGTTTCATTCTGGTCCATCACACTAACAATATAATGAAAAGTTAAATAGTTCCGTCCAGTATGACTAGTAAAGATTTTTCTTATTTCAGTTATTTATGCCCTTACATGTTTCGGTCTTCAGAGCTGTTCAGAGTGGAACAGCCGCTGTAGTTCTAAAGACTTTAGATTTTATACCCAATTGTATATTATTAATATTATATGTATACATTTTAACTTTCAGAACATATATTGTAATAGTAGCTTCCAACTGTACTGATGTAAAGGTGTCCCTCTGATGATGGTCTCTGAAGACCAAAACATGTAAGGGCATAAATAACTGAAATAAGAAAAATCTTTACGAGTCATTCTGGACGGAACTATTTAACTTTTCATGATATTAGACAAATGTTTACCTATACAGACTTCACCATACATTTGTTTAAACACATTTTAATCAGCCTAACTAGTTTCATAGGTATCCCAAACTCTATCAGAATAATGTACAATACTTCCCTCCTGACTGAATCATAGGCTCTCTTGAAGTCTACTAATAGCTGATGTACTGTCTCATTGTACTCCCATTTTTTCTCCAGTATCTGGCGAATGCAAAAGACCTGGTCAATAGTCGATCTGTTACGTTCAGACCCACACTGATGATCCCCAAAAATTTCATTTATGTATGGACTTAACCTTGAGAGAAGAAGTATTGTATGAAGTTTATAGCAGTGATATCCCACAATAATTGCTACAATCAGTTTTATCACCCCTCTTGTGAACTGGTATAATTATAGACTCCTTCCACTAATCAGGCAATTTTTCCTTATTCCAAATACAGTTAATTAGCTTATGGATCTTAGAATTAAATATTTCACCTCATGCTTGAATAAGTTCTGCTGGAATTTTATCACTACCTGGTGATTTATACCTTATCAATTTTGCAATAGCAATTTCAACCTCAATAGGTCTAGGATCAGGTACTAACGGCTGTGCTCTATATATTTCTATCTGCCTAACATCACTGACCCTATGTACATTCAATAACTGAGAGAAGTAGTTCTTCCACCCATCCCGCCACGTCTTGGTCTTCCTATTGTTCTCTTTCCTTCTGGCTTTCCCACCAATATCCTATATGCATTCCTCTTCTTCCCCATTCGTGCTATATGCGCTGTCTGTCTCATCCTCCATGACTCAGTCATTCTAAATATACCGTATTTACGCATGTATAGGCCGCACATTTTTTGCCAAAAATTCAAGAGGAAAACTGGGGTGCGGCTTATATTCGAAATCACACTTCATTTAAAAAAAATATATTCATAATTAGTAATACAGGGTGTTCTACTCCTGAAATAATATTCCAAGAAAATTATTTTTTTTATAATTTCTGTCTGAAAATTGTGCTGCGGCCTATACACGCACGCGGCCTATACA